ACTTAATTGTCCTGTTGAATTACCACAAGTATTTATCTGTCCTGAGGTGTTTATTATCATAGCTGCATCAGGAAGCACTTGCCAATGCCTGCACCTGGCCTTGAGATGGATCCTGCTGCCCAGAGAAAGCCTTCTCCTTCCCTCACTATGGAGATCCTTCATCCTTCTGCCTTGGATTTGCCCCAGCCCTGGTTTTCCTGAGTCTGTAGCAAGTGCTCTAACATAACAGTGTTGGGAGGACATTAACTTTAGAAGAACTGAAATAATAGTGAAAGAGCTGAGTCATGGGGGGGGATGTTAGGCAGGTTTGGGTAGAGGTGTGCATAAAAGGCAAATGAGCAGAAGCAGCAAGGCAGGGGGGAGCAAGTGAAAGGTGAAATTAAATGTTTGTGGAGATAAACAAAAGCAGCTCTATGTCCCCAGTAGTGAATTGTAGGGAGTTAAAGGAATTATAAGGAAATGCAGGCAGCAATTAAAAAAACCCCACGTGCCTGGGGGCAGTGGAAACCTGGCAGGGCAAGGCAGAGGGATGAGCGCCCTGGGGGTTAGGCTTCCCAAGTTGCTGAAAGCCATCCTGCAAACTGGGAGGGGAAGACATTGCCCTTAGCGGTGGGGTGGAAGCTCCAGGATCTGCTCCGTGGGGCCATCATCTCTGTCTGGCAATGGATGGGGGCCATGGTGGGGCGGGGGCAGCCAGGACAGGGCAGCTGGCAGAGGCAGATCAGGCTCAAAGCAAGTCAGGACAAGGAGCTGGTGCCATTGCTGAGGCAAGTGGAGGGTCTTCAGCCAAAATATCTAACTTTGGTTCTTACTAAAAGCAGAAAACACTTGAATAAAACTGTTTTGCTCAAGGAAAATGGAAAAGTAACCACCCTATCTCCTTTTCCTTCTTTATTTTGTCCATGCATTCCCCTGCCAGCAAACATGCCTACGGGAGATTGGTTGTGACCTACTCTTTATTCCACCACCTTCATGGGAGAGCCTAGCTCAGGATGAACAGCCTGTGGGACTTGATCAGGTTGGGTTGAAATAGTAACTGTTCTGGTTTGGGCTGCAATATATACTTTTTTCTTGGTATTAGAAAACAACCAAGCATGCAGCCCAGTATGTCCTGTGGTCGACTGTTGGAGAAATGATTCCTTTGCTTAAGCTCACATGAAATGGTGAGAATTGAGGGAGTTTTATGGCTTTGAGGCACTAACCACCACAGAACAGCTCCTGGGATCTTCCATGCCAGCATTGCGGGGCCTCTGCATTTTCTGGGACACACCAGCTTCTCCTGCCAGTCCCAATGCATGGGGACAAGACCCAGCTAGGCTTGCCGTAGTTGGAGGAAAAAGTTGATGTTTTCTGATAGAAAATATTTCTGAATTTAACCCTCAGCTGTCTCCACTGCTGCCTGTTTTCCTGGTGCCTTGGACCCCTCTTCCAAGTGTGTGGGTGAGGGATGGACACGGAGCTGGGAGCCAGCATGAGGGCTTGTGGGGTCTCGGTACTGTGTGTGTGGTTCTGCCCCAGAGCTGGCCTGCAGCCTGGCTGGCTGGCTGAGCAGATGGAGGCTGTGGAGGGTGAAACATTGGGAGTTGCCACCCCAGCTGAAATTGGAACCAGGAAGGAGCTATCATTCTCCTTCATGTGCCTAGTGGTATGGCAGGCACAGGGAAGCTAACAAAGCAATTGCTCCTGTCCTCTAGGTAGTCCTCAGCTTGCAGGTAAATTATGACCTAGAGGTGGTGCCCAGGCCCAGCACAGTGGGACAGGACAGCAAAACTGAAATGGAGGGGAGGGTGTGAATCACTGAGTGCTGTGGGCTGGCAGAGGCTGGGAAACTGTCTGGGATCCAGGGCGATGCTGCCCACAGTTGGTTGCTGCCTTGCCCCAGCATCAGGTGTTAAGACATGCCTTGCTTCAAAGAAGCTGCAATAGAAAAATGCTTTTGCATGTAAAAGAAACTGTCTTTGAACAAAGCTGGGGGGGGGAAGTTACTGGCAAGTGTGGCATAGTGTCCCCTGGGGAAATTTTTGTTTCAGAGAGGAACGACTTCCAGAGGAGAGGATAACCTGTGGCACTTCAGGCTCCTACTATTTTATTTGGTGGGTTTGTACCTGGAAAATGGAGATCTCATTCATGAGTTCAGCTGTTTTGGGAATTATGGACACACTTATGGACACAGCGGTTTCCCAAGCTGTCATAAAGCAGCACTTACAGCAGCCTTTTAGGAGTCCACTAAGGAGTCTAATCCTCCCATACTCAGCAGCCAAAAAAAAAAAAAAAAGAATTAGGTGGAGTGCCTGTTCTGGTCCTCCTGGTACCTGCTGTCTTTGTTCCCAGATAGCTGGAGCTCGCCCTCCCTGCTCAGCTTGACATCCGTGGGCAGGGAGCTCATTTGAAACAGCTCAAAACCAGCTGTTTCTTCACATCTCACTATTACAGCTTGGGAATGTGGGGAGAAAGAATGAGGGGGTAAGAAAAGCCCCTTCTAAGGTTTGGGGCTGATGTGACCTATGGCTAGGTCATACAGGAGCACAAGGAGGAAGAACAAATGCATGGACAAGGAGTCAAACCCGCTTGTACAGGAGTACAGAAAGGAGAGGACCGAGCAGAGAAGAAGCCATGGCTGCTCCCCCAGGCTATAATCATTAAAGAATGTCTTGTTGTAAAAAACAAAATTGTCACACCAGCACAAGCCATGAAGCCAGAAGTTGATTTCCATTATATATCTATTTCTGGCTGCCACCTTTCCTCTAACTGGCAAAATGGAAGATAACTTGGACAACAATATTTTACACTCGCACCCCAAGGGCTTAATAGTCTTCCTTGGTTCTACCCAGGTTCTGGCTTGCAGTGTCGTTTGTGCACACATGAAAGAGTAGCAGTGGAGAGTAGTCTGTGCTCTTGAGAAGTTGTGAAAGCCTGTCTTGACAAGCCTGTGGCAGGGCGGGTACAGGGGGACACAGTGATGTTGAAGGTGTGCCATGGGGTCCATGGGCAGTTAAACATGGCTGGATCACAATGCTTTCCCCAGCTTGGCAAGGTGCTGCTCACTGTCATCTTGGAGCCGCAAGCACGGGTCAGCAGTGGGGAAGTACACCAATATAGTGATAAGGGACAGGCTGCCAGACCAGAGCAAACACCCAGCAAGCACCCAGCCTCAGCTTGAAGGTGCTGTGAGATGGCCAGCATGGTGATCGAGGCAAAACAGAGCTGTGAGAGATGCCCAGGGTGAGAAGCACCACAGAGGAGGACAGGAGGTGTTGACCCATTGTGCAAGGTAGGTACAACACTTGCTTCTGCCATACTGCTTCTTGCCAGCCTGTTAGCCCTGCAGCAGGGCCAGCTTGGTTTTCTTCCTCTCCAAGGGCATTAGGAAGGTACTGCCATTGGGAGCACCCTTTGCTCCCCTTCCCAGGAACCCTGGCTGTGGGATCAGGGTGGGTGGTTCCCCACGGCTGTTGGCCCAGGGATGCAGCGGGCAGCACTACCCTCATCTGCATCTGTGATGAATGCACTTGCTGGCCTTTCCTCCCACCTCCCTGAAAGCTATCAGTCGCTGGCCTGAGTCACCATGACAACATTCCAGGGTAAGAAGTGTCTGAGGAAGCCAGGACAAGTGGGGAGGGAGGGCAAGCTTCTAGTAGGAAAATGCCTTTAGTGATGAAGAGGTGCTGCTGCACACACAAAGTGTGCATACAAATATCCGAGTTCAACCATTCTTAAATTTTTGAAATCACTCTTAAACTAAGTAGTCCTCACCACATGCTGATGGCAGCACATCTTGTCCTTTTTTTGGCAGCCTTCAGTGTGAGTTGGGTGCAGGTTCTCACATGGGCTCACCCTGTGACATCCCAAGTTAAGTGGCAACTCAGCCATGTCCTACAGCCACCCGCATCCAGAGGCCAGAAAAAGATGAATTCCACCCCTATGGCCATAACTGAACTGGAGGACATCAGCAATGCTCGAGTCATCTCTCTGGCTGCTTGTGGGACAATAAAAGAGTGAAGGAGATGGTCCTTGCTCCACTGAGCTGGTCCTATGCAGTAGCCCTTTAGTGGCTTCAACCTGCTTGGTGGGTCTATTGCCAGATGAGGTGGTGAGGAGTGGAAGGTGGGCCAACAAGTTCCCTCTGCCCACCCTGGTGTCCTGGGCTGCCTCTTGCCCCTTCCCTGCGCCCAGTAAGGGGGTGCTGGAAGAAAAGACCAACCCTCACCTTGCTACAACCTCCTTTCAGGCAGTCATAGAGAGTGATAAAGTGTCCCCTGAGCCTCCTTTTCTCCAGGCTAAACAATCCCAGCTCCCTCAGTCACTCATCATAAGACTTGTGCTCCTTTTGACCCTTCACCAGCTTTGCTGACTTTCTCTGGACATGCTCCAGCACCTCAATGTCCTTCTTGTGGTGAGGGGCCCAAAACTGGACACAGGATTTGAGGTGCAGCCTCACCAGGGTCAAGTATAGGGGAACAATCACTTCCCTGGTCCTGCTGGCCACACTATTCCTGGTACAGTCCAGGATGCCATTGGCCTTCTTGGCCACCTGGGCACACTGCTGGCTCATATTCAGCAACTGTCGACCAGCACCCCAAGGTCCTCTGCCACCAGGCAGTTTTCCAGCCACTCTTCCCCCAGCCTGTAGTGCTACATTGGGTTGTTGTGACCCAAGGGCAGGACTCAGCACTTGGCCTTCTTGAGCCTTATACAGTTGGCCTCGGCCCTTTGATCCACGATTCCACCGATCTGTGCAAGATGGCACTCCATCTTCCTACCATCCTACTGAGCCCCTCTCCACTAATGTCCTCTTGTTCCTGCCAACTCTATCAGTATCTCTCGACAACACATCATCGAGCGCATTCTCCTCCCGCCAGAGACCGGAGGATGCTTCCCCTCCACCCCTTCCGCACGTCCCACCGCCCCGCCGGTGCCCCGTCCCCAGTGTCGGCAGTGCCGGTGAGGTGCGGGCGGTTCGGCCGCGCTCGCCCTCCCCGGCGGCGCGCAGTGCCCGCGTGTGGGCGGGCGGCCGGGACATGCTCACTGGGGAGCGCCGCGGCCGCACATGCTCACTGGGCGCGGAGGCACCGCCGGAGGTAGGGGCTCGCTCCGCCGGCGGAGGAGCCGCGCTGTCGCCCCGGACGGGCCCGGCATGGCCCGCCGCCCGCTGCCCGGCCGCCGCCGGCGCTGAGCGCGGGGGGATCGCAGCGTCCGGCGGTGAGCGCGGGGCGCGGGCGGCGCGGCCGTGGCGGCGGCGGGGCCGCGTGTGCGGGCGGGGCCCGCGTCCCCGGCGGGGCGGGCGGGGAAGCGAGGGTCCGGCCCGGCAGCCCCGTTCCGTCCGGCGGCACCTCCGTCAGCACCTCGGCCAGCGCCCGCGGCAGCTGGGCCGGGCCGCGGCGGCGGGGCCGTGCGGTGAACCCCGCTCGCCGCCTCCTGCCGCTGCCCCCCGGTGCTGGCGCCGGCAGCGCTCGGCTGCGCGGAGCGGGATCCCTTCCCGGTGCTGAGGGCGGGGGGAGGCCTCGGGCCGGGCCGTGCAGACGGAGAGGCGGACGAGGGGCAGGTGGGGCAGGGGCAGCTCCTTTCCCGGCCGGGCCGAGGGGGTGGAAGGGGTGGAAGGGTGCTGCGGCTCCCGGGGAACGGGTTGCTGGAGCATCCCGGTGCCTCCTGGAGGTTGTGCGAGGGAGAAGGAGAGGTAATGCCCCTTGAAAGGAATGGGGAAAAAATCTTCTAAGTAAATAGAAGTGGAAAATGCAGCAGGTTGTGAGGCATCGGCGAGATTTACGTTGGCCCAAGGAAGTGCCTGGGAATTATCTCTGGGATGGGAAACAAATGGAAAATATCGGGAGTGTCACGGTGCTGTGACCAGATGCAGGCGGGGCTGTCTCTGGCCAAACACGAATTCAGCTCCTGGCCTTTGGGGTACATGCTTTTGCCCCCGAGAAGTTAAAACATTAAACTGAGCACTGTGCAATAAAGCACAGTATTGCGGGTTCTGTTTAGTCATCTTTGCAAGGCCCTTTCAGTGCTAGCTCTGCAGCAAGAATGCTTCATGCAGAATAGTTGTGTTTAAATTCTGTACTTAAAATTATATTTGTAATCCTTTCTCATAACTAGCATTGAAACAGTTGCTATCGTTATTGAAATGATGTGCAAGGTCATAGAGGGCTTGCAGTTCTTCGCCTTGATAGATGACTGGTTGACATTATATTTAATGCAGCTGATATGTGACATTTCTGGTGAGGAATCCTCTTTCCAAGTTTCTGAGTATTTTGGGTTAAGCAGCCTTTGAAGGGCATAACGTTTCTTTTCATAAACACTCTGGAGCAAACTTGCATTTAAATCTGTTCCTCACTGTCAGTCTCAACTTTGGGAAGCTACTTGACTCTCAGAAAATTGGCTGAGTCAGTTCCATGTCAGAGATACACCTCAACAGACTCTCTCTCCCAAGGCAACTAAGAACAACAACAAAAAACCAGCCCACCAAAACTTTTGCTTACTTTTTGTAGGTGTGTTCCCTTTTGCCATATCTAGCTCTACTAACATAAACCTGTTTCTTTTCTTTTGCCACAGACTGAAGGTTTCTCTGAAGCTTAATCTTCAAGATGAAGTTCTTACTAGCAGTTGTATTTTTCATCTCATTCTCCTTATGGGTTGAAGAAGTCTATTCCAAAGAGAAATCTTCAAAGAAAGGAAAGGGGAAAAAGAAGCAATATCTATGTCCATTGTATGTTCCTGGTTTCTTTTATGCTTTCGTGTGGTTGCAATCCTGCGCTATTTTTAATAGTGAAAATTATGTGGCAATTGAAGTAGAAGGTGATTCTTTCTGCTGAAAGAATGGGGTCAGTGGTGGCAATGAGAGGAAGAGGGTTTGACCAGCATCATAGCTTAATTCTGTCAATGTCTTTCTTCTGCAGAAGGTCCTCTGTTTTAATGAAAGGAAAAAAATCTAAGCCATACTAAATGGTTTCTGTCCCTGTCTTGCTGTTTATGGGGACACAGTAACGTAGTACCATAGTGCTATGCTTTCCAGCATCATGTTGCAGGTATATTGAGGAAAGCAAGGAGGATGCAAAACCATGATACTGAAATTCAGTTTCTAGTTAGCTAGTTATAGGAGAAGGTTTGTCCTATGCATATTATTATTGCATGTTGAATGGAACTAAGGTATTCAGCACCTTCCATCAATGATTTATAGTTGTATAACTTTTGTGGAGGTGGATTGATTGTTGCTGTAAAATGTACCCTTATGGAATAATCTCCCTGTGAAAATACAGAAATTAAAATCTGTGATTGCCCAGCTGAAAACAGAATGTGTTGTGGAAACCTATGATTATTTGGTGTTATAAATACTCCCTTTTTCCAATGCCTACCATGTTTACCATGTTTTAGGTTGTGATCCATAGGATAATGCAGAAGTTTTATTTGTAAGTGCTGGTTTTATCATTATCTTGGCCAGTCTTGCTCATTTTTTAGTCTTATGTTGTAAATATCTGAGGAAAAGATTGAAGGACTATGAGGAATTGTTAGTAAGTGTAGAAAAGCACTATGCCTGAAATAATAAAATTGTTTAGACAAATGTAAAACATGTTTCTTCTGTGACGATAAAAGAATAAGTATGGACTATTAGACTGGCTATTTAAGGTTAATCAACTTTTTCCAAAGAAAAAATAAAGCAAACCACAAAGTAGAATAACCAAACAGAAGCATTGTTCAAACAATACTTTTTAAACTTCCCACCATTTTTAAATATTGACAGTGATGTTTATTTGTAACCCAAAATTTTTGGGAAGTTTCTACATATGATCCATGGTTTTTTTCTTCTTTTTATGTCAAACCTAAAAAATGAGATTTGTCTTTCTATTTTAATACATTAAGATACAAGTCTCAAATGTGATGACTTATCTGAAATGACTCCTACCCATTCTTTCACCTTTGAATAGTTGAGTTCGAATTAGGCTTTTGGTCTGAGCTACCATGAGGGTTTATAGCAAGGAGAAAAATGTCATAGTTCCCGGGACAGACATCAGCACAAAAGCCCTTGGAAAGTGAGTTATGCAGCTGAATCCAGATTTTCCATGGTCTTGTTTAAGCAGCCAGCATTTCCCTCTGCTCTTGACTTCGTCTTAGTAGAATTCAAAACATCAACGTCATTTTATCATAGTAAGTAAGTAGATTTTTTTGTTTGTTTTTCTTTTAAGCGCAGTATTTCTTGGTACCCATTAAATATGATGTCATTTGTCACCAATGTGCTTGAAAAAAACATGGAGTAAATGCTATGATTTCAAAGTGATGCTTTTGCCTTCCATGCAGTTGAAGCTTTCTGCAAAAATACTAGTGGAATCCAGTATTTGTCTGATGTACCTCGTGTGCAGTGTTGCTAGCTAGAATTGCTGTAGCAGTAAATTCTGTTCAGTTTCCTGAATAATGAACAAGTTGTCTATATCTTACTTGGCTGAAGTTCACAGCTTGAGAGACAACCACTTGTAATAGCAGGGTTGCAAGACTTTTGTTTCTGTAGCTGGCATCTAGAGGACCTCTCATGTAAATGAGCAATGGAAGTCAGTTCTGTCTTGCAGAGAAATTATCTAATGCTCTTTTAACTCAGGCTGCTGTTGGCAAACTTTCAATCATCAGCATTTTTAAATGATCTTTCACAAAACTTCTTGACTTGGTGACACTCTGTGTTATATAAAAGGCTGCCTACTTTTCGTAATTTTTTCCTGTGTGAAAAAAGTATAGAATCTTTACTCAGAAACAAACCAGAACACAATGCAGTGGAGTGGGAATTAAGCAACACTATAAGGGTTGACTAAAAATAATCAAGGAAGTGTGTGAACGAAAAATTTCCTAGAAAAGCATAAAAGAAATATTTTAGAAGAATGCATTGTATCCCTTTTAAATAAAAGAAATAGGATTTTGCATAATTTATAAAATTGAATGGTACAAATTCCTAATGAAAATGTACATTTATAAGTTAAAATCTTAATCCACCTTTAATTTCCATTGGCCGCTGGTGCAATAGAATTTAAAGCTTAATTTTAAAAATTATTGCCTTTTATTTCCTTTCAACATCTGAAAAGCGAAATTTTACTTCCTCAAGAGAACAAAAAAACAGCACTACTAGTTGTATAAGGAACGACTTTCTCTTGTGAACTTGATAAGGAAATTCAAATCTATGCAAATAGCTTTCCAGGAAAGATGATTTATACTGAGTCTGATGTTACTACCTGAGCTCCTTAATTTTATGTTAAGAAATTATTGGCTATAAGACTGGTTTGGGACTTTAGCATGAATGTGTTTGTATGAGAACTAAGCATACTTGCACTTGTCCTTTTATGGCTCTGAGAGTATAAAGCTTTCGCCAAATGCGCCCCTCTGGCATGAAATTAACCACTATTAGGATAGGCTGAAAACAAGCTGATTAGAAATCCCATAAAAAGTTCATTATCATGTCATAAACAGATACTTGCTTCCTTAAATTAGGACAATTCTATTTTGTATCTTAGAGCAAAACCTTTTACTTGTGATTATTCATGATGCTGTACTTCTCAGTGCATTGTGTAATAGTGGCTCGATTTGCCATCTTATTTTCATTTATTTCTGAAGCTGTTTTTCCCAGTTTTTTTTATTAAAGGGTTTCTTGAAGCTGATGCTTAATCAGTCGGTTCTTACTTTGATTTAATGCTTGCTCAGAACAGATGTAAGATTTCACATCTTATATTTAGATCATTTTCTTTCTTACCTTAGGCTTTCCAAATGAAACATGGAGTAATTATACTTGTGTCTGATTCCTGAATCTTTGTTGACTAACAAAGACATTGACATAGCTGGCCTAAAATGCTGTAATAGAGTTTTCCAGCACAAATCTGAGAAACTGACTTTCACAGATGTGTGGTGCAATGAAGTATAAACCTTTAGTGTAACAAAACTTTTACCTTTTATTTCTGTGGGAAATCTTAAAAAACCTCAGTCAGGCCCACGTCTTCAAAAAAAATTTTATGGATTACATTCTTCTGTTTACAAAGATTATTTTGAAATTTTATATACTGAATACAGATGATTTTGATATAGCTACAGATGGATTTAGTCACTTGATCTCTTTCCTCCTCATAGACTACCCATACCTGTATTACCTTTGTTACTTACTTCTTATTAACTTCTTCATAATTCCTTCTAATACCTATTTCTGTTAAATGTGTTGGACAGTTAGCTGTGACTTTTTCTAATAGCACTGCTGAAAAATATTTTTTCTTTTCTTACACCACAATAAATACTTCAGTTACTTTATAATGTTTGAGCTGCTGCTGTTATCCACACAATCCTTAGTAGCCCAGAAGGTCTGTACTCAAAACTACTTGCAAGATCTCCAGACAAATGGAATTATAAGGGAAGGGAAGTTTGGTTATTACAGTGTTGTAGAAGGCACCTAGAAGTAAGAGTGTTAAATAGCAGCTAACAAAACCAGTTATGACTGTGGTCATTGTCACAACTATCCCTGTTAATTATAGTTTTAGTATGACTCAGCTGTTCACGTGCACAGGGTTCATTTCTGAAGATCCCTCAGTGTCCCTAATGCTACGGCAACACTGAGAGCATAACCTCAGTCACTAAATGTCATTCTTTTGTCTGGATATCAAGACTGTGCTTTTAAAACAATATCCCTCTTCACCTTTATGCATTTGTCCACATGGAGATTTATATCCATGTAGATGACTAACTAAATACTGTATAATATCTATAGAGACTTTTTTTATCCATGAAGTAGGAGTGCAAGTCATATTTTGGCTTGTATTCAATAAAGCATATCAGCTACTTCAGAAACTGTGAAATGGCCCTCTAAGCCCTCCAGAAAACAAGGCTTGTGCCATCTGCCAGGGCAGAAGCTTAGAAAGGTCACAGATGTGAGGGTTCAATAAACATCTTCTTTTAAAAAACAGCAACAAATATAGTGGAACTAGGGAAAAAAGCCTTTGATGTGTTTTAAACATAAAGTTGTATGAAAGTCTGTCTTGGAATTTGTCTTGGTTAACTTTCAGCTTCTGACATGCCCTTCCTATAAAGAGTAAAGTAGAAGTTCAAAGAATATCTTATACCTTGGATCCTCTCCACTTTTCTACAGACTAGAATTTTTTTTATTGAGTGTTTGGGTATACATGGCCTCTCTATGATGTGATCATCATGTGATCTATCTATGATGTGATCATCCCCAAAATGTAAATGATGAGAAAGTGGAATCATGTCTGTTTTCATTCCTGTCATGCAGAAGACACTGCTGGTAGTCTGTGAATATTTTCATTTGTAGGTATGATGGGACAGTTAATACAGTTTATGGGAGGAGGTGGAATCATGTTGAAAGAAAAGCCTGAATGTGGTTGTGGAGTAGGTTACATCTGACAGTCGTTCTGATGATAAGTACATTGTAGAACTCAGGTCTGGTTCCTATAAAAATTCTTTTGCCCCATAGTAACAGGAGCTGGTCAATGGTTTAATTATTCTCTATCATGTAACTCTCATGGAAAGCTGTGATCCCAGACAGATAGGGCTACATTCCAGGAGGTTTGGGGATTTGTTTTCAGAGTGGATAAATATGCTGGGGAGTAAAAGATAAAGCTATATAAGCAAAACCTAAGTTCTCTTGTAAATCAGTAATTAAGTATGGTAGACTGGTTCTCATTCAGTAATTTTCCCTCTCAGTGAGCAGTGTTTACTCCAATCTGAACAGAG